ACCGTGTTTTAAGAAAAAGATGAAACTGCAAAAATACAGGAATAACAAAAGAAGAGAACAAAATGGAAATGTTGAATTTTCCTTCTCTTTATATAGAGGTTACAACTTGTACATTTCAAGAGGTAACATAATCAAATCAGGACATCACTTAATAATATACTAAGTCCACAAGAAAAGAAATTTCAAATTGTCAAATCAAATAAATTAGCAAAGGAAATGCAGGTGCTTCTGAAATGGTACATATTCATAGAACGACGATCTTTCCATTTCTACTCATACATTGAGTTTTTCTCTTCTGTTCAACCAGCAAAAGGGTTCTGATGCTGCTATGACTATGGGCACTGAATCTGCGATGTATGCAGAGGAAGCTTCAAACAAGAATGACCTTCTCGACAACATTCTTCCCGCTTCCATTTCTGAATATGTTGAATTGGTTAATGCTCACATTGCTGCTGGTGGGTACCATTTAGTAGATGGAAACTTCTGTTAATTTTTTGTATATTACACGTGTTGAAACGTCTGATTTTGCAGGGTCAAATTACCGATTTGTATCCCGACAACTGCTACTTTTGGGTGCTATGCTTGATTTCTCTGATGCTTCGAATAGAAAGGTGGCTGGTGAATTTGTTCAGAGTCTGTTGTATAAAGCCCTTGATCATGAAGTGGACGATAATGGCAATGAAGTAGTCATTGGAGATGGCTTCAATTTAGGGGGGGAGAGAGATTGGGCTGCTGCTGTAGCGGAGTTGGCAAAGAAAGTCCATGCAGCTACTGGCGAGTTTGAAGAAGTTGTTCTTAGAGTGGTGGACGAGCTCGCTCGGCCTTGCAGGGACAGAACGGCGGACTGTAAGCAATGGCTGCACTGTCTTGCTGTGGTTGCCCTTATTTTGCAGAACACAACTTCATTTCGTGAAATGCAAGGAAGGGCTATTGACCCTGTTGAAATTCTTCATTCTCTCTTGCTTCCAGGGGTATGCTTCTCTCTCTCTCTCCCCCCCCT